TATCTTTATTAATTAAGTTAGTGTATGAGTTATTCCAATCTAAATACGTTTAAACTAGAACTATTGTCTGCTTTTATTTCGCTCTAACTTTCTTTTGAAGTTTCTTGTGTTCGTACATATGACGTCATTGTATTCATGCATCAATATAACTTGTATCGATATGCGTCAGTTACTTGATATAAAGTATATAGTCAGTAATATCGATAGTCAATATCAATTGATTGTTGTGATAAATAGCACTGTAATTGAAATGCATCTCATTCAATTAACTCTAACCAAATTGATGGATAGAACGTGGAAGACCAAAGATCAATTTATTGTTCAGATTTAACCTCATTTGATTTCTTTCTCTGGGAAGCATTCAAAAATGTTACCTAACAAAAAGTACTGATTATAGTGGAAAATATGAGACAATAAATTATTGTGGTATATGCTCAAATAAGTTCCAAGATGATAGAACATTTTCATGGTTCAACAAAAAAATTGCAATTGTCAACGCAAAAATAAGCAAAAATGGTCAACGCTTCGATCTTTTGTCGATGTGAGAAATATTATCTCTCCATTCATTTAACCTTGAATGACCTTTAATCTTAACATGCTGAAATCCTTAAAACAGAGGTTATTACATTATCAGCGATAGAAAAAATATAGCATCTCATTAAATAAAAAAGATGACTTTGAAATCTCCTCTACCTCTGCACCTAAAAAGTATTTACATGCTATTGTATCTCCCCTCCATACGATTTAAGTTTCATATATAATACTTTTCCCTATTATTATAAATAACGGAAATATTTCAAGGTAAACAAAGTTTATATCCCATCATGTATTATAGTCCCACTTTAAACATTACTCACGTTAAAATAGTTTGATGAGTGAAGTAGGATTCACTGATGTGTTTTCTATTTGATTCCTGCAGAACATTGTGTCATATAATTACAGCAAAGAAAACCCTAATTATTATTGTTGACCTTTAATAAGTTTATAAAAATAATATAACATAGGAAATATATTCCATATTATATGAATCTGTATTATAAGAGTCGCATTGGTTATACAATTTTCATATTATTGTATTTTCTCCTTAAAAAGATACAATTTTATTCTGGGACGTATTTTTTTATTTTTAACAACAAGGGAGATATTTAAGATGGCCAAACTATATGGTACCGTGTGATATGAACTCTTTTTTAACATATTATACGAATACAAGTTACAATTATACGAATTCACATTATAATATAAATCCGTGTTGTATTATATACAGAATGAAACGTAATGCTATTTCAAATATTCGAAATATATTGGTGGCTTTTATATAAAAATATCGAAGGAAGAAATACTTTAGTTTAAGAAAATCGATATCCTAATTAATACAAAATTTTTTTCAACTATTTTTTTCGGGATTTTAAAACCTTTCACAGAACAAAAATTCAATCCTTGTAACTGAAGTTTTGAAATCGTTAAGCTTTATTTCTAAAGTTACGTGCAATTTGATATTTAATGAAATAGTCAATCGAGAACATAGAGATAGAATATTGAGAAATGATCCTATTATTTTATAGAGCTACAACGACCTGCACAACAATTTAAATAAAGGACAACTTAAGGATAAATAGCAACATACTAAATTGATATTTACACATTTATAAGACGAAAAATTTTAATTTTGATTAAATTATTATTGTTTATGTAATAAAAGTCAAATGTATGTAATTAGTTATAGAAAAATATTATTTTCATTACTCATATATTTCTCTTCCTTCAGGTTGAAGTTCTTAGTATATGATAAAGTAGTTTTGTAATAAATTGAGTAATTCTGTCATAAATATCAACACTTGTTTCTCCTGTAGATACTTCGTTTAATGTTTTTATAATCCTAGATACACTATTTGAAATTTCTAAAACTTCATAAAATGATAATATTTTGTTTTATCCTTTTTAATTATTCACGTGTCGAACACTTCTACTAAATTACAAAAATTCATTAAAATTAGAATTTTCGGATTCGCAAATTATTTTTATAAATGAATGCGTATTGGATGGATTTTGAAATTTTGTTTATCAAATTCAGAATTACATTTGAAAAATTCATTTTATTCACAAATTTTAGCTTAATTTTTCCATGTAGATTTTATTTACTTATTTTGTTTATATCACTGCATTTCTGATGTATTCTGTATAATATGATACATAAAAGGAAAGTGCACAATTACATTTTATTAGTTTTAAATATCAATATTGATATAATATTTTAATTATTAATAATTTATTTTTTAATATTAAAACCATTCCACCATTGTTGCTTTAACGACAGTACATTATTATATTATTATATTTCTAACTATTAATATTTATGGATAACAATACCTTATCTATATTACAATTTTTGTTCCGAAAAAAATAAATATTATACTACTAGTACTTATTCAAATTTCTATTAAATAAAGTATTTCTCTGATGATAGAATACACCAAACGAGCACCAGTGACATTGCTTTCTTTGCAAGAGATTTGGATTTTTTCATATGCAAAATAAAATTAAAAAATTGTTATAATATTTGGATAATCAATATTATTGTTACATATATATATATATATATATATATATATATATATATATATATATATATACATGCGCGCACGCATATTCACATCCATACATTCAATTTTTTTGAAAATTCAAAATGAGTAAATTTAATAAAATCTGAATAAGTAGTATCGTTTCATAGAATTAAATGAAATAACTATAATTTTAATTGTATTAAGCTCGTTACGAATACATTATACACAAATATATAATTATTTGCTTGATATGCGTTCTATCTCTCTACTTAATGTATTTAATATATACTATATATATACATACATACATATATACATACATACATACACATACATATACATATATATTTTAATTCTATATTCTTATAATAGCAGTTTACGCATATAAAGAATATCTCTTGGTAGCACAGAATTACTTCTTAAAATAAAACAAGATAGAACAAAAATATTATACTATAATATTATTCTCCAATATTTTATATTATAAAATAATATTAAATAGTATGTATATTCATAATATAGTGGATGAGTTATTTAAGATTTAAAGCGAAAATATTTAGATATATTATTTTTGATAATATTCAAAAGTTTTTAAATAAAAGAATATATTTAACCTTTTTTAATAAAAAAGTTGTAAAGCATATCAAAACAAGTTCAAAATATTCCAAATTTGTAATGATATGATCTAATTGGAAATTGAAATATCACTTTCCGTAATTTGTTACATTACTTGTTAAAGATATTATATTATTCTTATTTTTACATTATAATAGCATTTTTTATTTATCAAGAATTGTCTGACCTATCATTTTTTATCTTATAACATATCTTGAAAAATGAAATACGAGGGAAGAAAACTGCTTATCCAGATGTAAATACAATAATATAATCTATATGACAATAATATTATAATTTTGTTGAAAGGTTTATTAAAATTGTAATATAGATTAAATTTTTTTTTAATACACATTACATTATAAATGAATAAAGAAAGCTATTAATTTTTTTAGCTAAAATACATTACCAACTCGAATTATCGATACAATGAATTCTTGATAAATAACAAACACTATTACAACATAAAATTGATAATCATTGAATATTTATAACAAGTAATACAGCAAATAGATCTGTACTATTTATAAAATTTAGAAGATAATATTTTTTTTTCGCTGATCATAATAATACAAATGTATTTGGTAATTTTTGTGTAAGCAAAAAACTCAAGTTTCATTTAAAGTAATATCAATGGCTCTTATACTTTTGAAAATATAATTTTCAGGTAAAAAATTTCTTTCTTTCTATATCAACCCTTTCAAATCAACTATATTCTCTAAAAATTTATTACTATCATCAAAAGTTTCATTATCAAATAAAATATTCTCTCCTGTAATCTTGAGTAGTTCACATAAATACTATTAAATATTATATATAATATTAATTATTAATAGTATATATTATAAATATTATTATATATACTATTCAGTATTATATTATATAATATAAAATATTATATTTTAATAAATTTACATTAAATTAACATTAGAATTTTATTTGAGGTTTTTGAAAAATTGTAAAAATTATAATAACGAAAGAAAATGAATGTGTAAATCACTATAGTTTATAATGTTAAAAATTCTGTTATATTTATTCTATTCACAAAAACCAAAATACATTTCATAAATGTGAAAGTCTATTCAAAAAATGTCATTAAAATGCGTTAATATTTGGGTATAGGGATTTTTCAACGAATATTACTCGATTCAGGTACTTGTATCAATTTTTATGCATTTTAAAAATCTTATTTTGTTTGTATAAATCGTGTTAATGCGATATCATTGATCAAGTCCAAATTTGTAAAGTGTTCTTGATTTTAAATGCAAGGATCTTGCCTTCTCTATTGAAGCACATCCAAGAAACTATCATAAATGTTTAATAGTATTCAAAAGTCACACCAAATTTGTGGACATGAATACATAGAGTAGAAATACATGTATTATCTCTTTTTAAATATTCGAGCGATAGTATAAAATTGAAGAAGCTTTCATACGGCCTTTCTAATGTTTTGAAACTACTTATGGTGTTATGAATAAGAGAAAAAATAACAGGTTTAGGGTTTCCCATATTTCGATGTATGAGCTATCACACTTTGTTTATATGTTCTGGTATCTTAATTTCTAATGGAAACTTATTTTGAAAAGTGAGCTCATAAACAGTGAAATAATAATGTATATAGATATGAACGTGGCTCTATGATCGATCATTTGAATATGAATGTTCAATCGAACAATAATCGTATTAACTTCGAGAATTTTTTGCGGAAATATCTACGTCCTCAAAGTTACACTGATGATATTGTAAACGTTTGTTATTGTTACAGGCGAAAAGTCTGTCTGTCTCGCATACATAAATATGAATATCATTATGTATGATTATATTAATTATTTCTATTACTGCTAAGTCTCGCGTCCAACGGCTCATCCACATGTTCGGTATGTCTCAAAGTTTGCTGCGATGTGCTTATCATATTAAACGGTGTTGTTGTTATTTGAATGTGCCTCGAGGTATGAGGGCCTTTCATAGTTAAATCGATTTCAGCATCTTGAGGTCTCTCTCTAATACTCTGTTCTATATCCTTTTCCGGAGAACTACTGCAAATCCGTGGTGGAGATCCACATCCGCACTTAACTTTGTCGTTCGACTTGTCACAATGCATGGAATAGCTGCGGGATAATACGAAAATACAGCAAATGATCTTAAAACACTGAAAAAAGTATGTTTTTCATATTTCAAATTATTCGCAATGCAAGTTAATGTTTTATTGTTATAATCAAAAATTCACAAATAATGTTTGAATACTAATCTCGCCGTTATTTTGAAAGTTTTTAGTATATACACGAGTATGCGTACATTGACATATGTAGATATGTTGGAACGAATATATATCTTATACAATAAAAATGCTATATGTATCTTATTTCACTATCGCCATAAATTGAATTTATAATAAGATTTTAACATTATTATATATAAAAAATGCGTACCCATGAGCAGCGGAAAGTAAACGATAGTCTCTGCAAATTGGTACGGTAGCGGCGGCTGCAGCTGCAGCCGCACCTGTTTCGACCAATTTCTCGGCAGAAGAAGAAGAAGAAGAAGAAGAAAGAGAGGGTTCAGATAAGGCCGACGGCGGTGGTGGTGACGAGGCATCTGATCTTTCTATTCCTGTTGCCGGCGGTGGTCTCAAAAGAAGAGGTGTAGCACTACCTAATCCTAAGCAACGCATTCTCCATGCGTCTTGTAGTAATTGAAGACGAGCCTGTTTTCGCCATTTTGCTCGTCTATTTTGAAACCATACCTTCCAAAAGGGAAAGATTCAAATTAATGTTATTAATTTGAATTTATAATAATATAAAATTGAATTATCTTGGGCTCACTATCATGATTAATATGGTCAAGCATATTCTAATAGGAAATGGAAGAGAAATATTTGTATAAAAAATACTATTTTTATTTTTTAATGATCTCAAGTTAAATATAATTATAAGAAAGTATAAAAACTTGTAGGTACTAAATGGTTTATAATGTATTATACTTTCAAAAAGTGGAACATTATTTACAAATATTGAAATAAAAGAAAAAAAATAAAACACTAGAAGAAGAATTTATCTTAAAAATACGTTCTTTCATCGGTCGTAAGATACAGATAATATGATACAATCCATGCTTAGAAAATAAATTTTTGAAAGAGATAATGAAAAAATGTTGATGAATCATATAATCCAATTCCTAAAAAAGTCAGAATAATGACAATTCGCTCAAACATAAATAGATACATGTTTCATAAATTTTATACTTCATTAAAAAAAGTACACAAGCTAACTTATTTCAAATCAGGTGAAAATTGTTAAATGTACATTATAATTGTTACATTTAACAATTTTCATATTAATACATTAAGAAGATTTATCTTCATTCTATCAAAAGAGACATCGAAACTATTTCACTTATTCGTATTCTACGAAATATCGAAAAAGTGCAAGTTTTTAAAATTACCGAAATACATCGACCAACAAATAAGTGTCAATCCAAAAAGATATAAATTATCATAATCGTACAATAAATGCAATAAAATTATTTCGAAGACATAATCTTGAATCGAATCGTGCTCTCTCTTTTTTACCGATAGTTTTTTCGGCAAAAGAAGTATACCTGAACGCGTGCCTCCGAGAGTGAAATTCGAAGAGCAACTTCTTCCCTCAGGAATACATCTGGATAATGAGTCTTCTGGAATAGGGATTCCAATTCTTGCAATTGCTGCGGCGTAAATGTTGTCCGATTACGCCTCTAAATGAAAAATACGTAACAAATTCAATATTTAAGTTTCTCTTCGTCCTTTTTAAATATCGCGTATGCATTTACTTTTAAAGTTTTTTTAAGTGTAAAATCGCTTTATAAAGTATTGCTATTTGTTCTCCATTATAATAATTGGCAATCTGTAAATAATATCCATGTATACATGCGTCTATATATATAATCATGTAAAATTCTGTATACAAAATAATAGACAAGAGACATAGGTATATTGCTTATGCAGCCAAAAATACAACTTTTGTGTTTGTCTCTGTAGAAATATTTTACTTTCATATTTTTGACGACAACACCAAATCTTTTCACGAATAAATATGCTAACTTCATTAACTGAATCAAATTTGTATATTTTTATAAAAATTTATAATTCATGATTAGAATATAAGAAAAATCATTTAATAATATGGATACTTTTTTTGCAACGAATTTTATATTTTTTATTATTATTATATCAATTTTACTATAATTTTATTATATATCGACCGATATAATATTGTAATTGTGTATATCATTTCATATCTTAATTTATAATTATAGTACTTTCATTATTAATAATTTGATTATGGAATACTTACTAGTAGCAAATGTACAAAAAATATATATAGAATGCATATCTGTGTTGAGATATTATTTACGACAATATGAAAAATGAAAGCTTTTAATTTGAAAAAAACGAAAAAATCACGGTAAAAGCGATTATAATGAGCACTCTATGAAGGTATGATCCTTTAAGAAATATTTCAAAAGTTTGCTCTCTAATGTATTATAGAAATATCAAGTATCTCGACGATACAAATTCAACGTACATAAGAATCCAGTTTTTCACCTAATACCAAGATTTAGAAAAGAAATAAAATTCTCTTAAATAGTTTTCTTGTTGTAAGTTTTATCGAGCTTATAATGTGCAGAACTTTAAAAACGTTTAAACGAAATACCCAGGAAATAATTTTACGAGCCAAAAGAAAATAGATAAGATCGAAACGTACACTGACCTGACGACGACGACCGAACATATACTCGGTAAGTAGATCGGCCTGAGGCCCTAAGGGTGAGAGATAAGGACCGGCCATATGGACGAACACCTGCACCGTGAGCCTTCGTGATCCTTTTCGGAGACTTTAGTCAACTGTTGTTGAATAATATCAGAAATTACAACACTTACGATTTTTTTTTACGGCTTTGCGTAAAAAGTCCAAGAAAATAAAGAAACCGGCGAATAAGGATTGGTTTGGTTTCGCTCGTAATTGAGGTGGTAGGAAAACTGCCCGTAAAGCTTGCGAGTCCGCGAGCAACAACGAGAAGCGACTGTTTCCTACCCTCGTTTGCGAGGGTGTTGCGAGAGACGGCCGCGTTCCCTATTGGCTGCGCAGTTCTGGGGCGTTACCGATGTTGCACGAGGATGCACACACCCCTTCCTGCAGTTATGGAAAGTCCACTAAATCGTAATGCGCGCACCATTCTTTCTCCCTTTGCATCTCTACTCTCCTCTTCCCTCTCCGCCCAGTCAACTCGTCCTCCTTTTTCCACCCTTCTTGCCCTCTCCTCTTTCTCCTCTACCTCCTCTTTCTTCTCTTATTTCTGCATCCTCTTTCCACTTTCTCTCTCTCTCTTTCTTTCTCATACGCGTTCATTTAGGCCTCCTCTGTCCTTCTTTACTCTATTATCCTTTGCTTTTTTCTCTTTTTTCCGATACTATGCTTTTTCCTGATCTGCAAAAATTCAGTTCGATCACTCACTTAAGAATGCTTTTGAATTTTTACTCCGAGCTTACGACGACTAATCAATAATCAAAATCGATGTTATACGACGATCTCTATTTTTTTTCTTTAAGCGATAAAGTCTCTCTTTATAGTACTCTTTTGATCATGCATTGACCTAACAACTATAACGTACATTGTTACGATTTACTTGAATAAGAATCATTTTATTTTTTATGTTATTACTGATTTGAGATTTCTCATGTTATTACTGATATCGTATGTTTGCTTATAGTATAATTTCTTTTCCCTTGATTATATACATTAAGGACATACATTTCGTTTTTAACACATGTTGTTATTTTAGTTTCTTACAATATTACTACATGGTTTTTGAAATGATAAAGTATATTCTGGGAAATATCTATTATTCACGTTATATACAGGGTTGCGTAAAAATCTGATTGGTGCATTGAAAAGTGTACTATTTTAATCGATTCACACAAATTCTGAAATTATTGGAAACGAAAAGAAATAATAACTCAATAAGTTTGAATTTATTTCTCGTGCGTGATTTTAAATCGATGTTACTTCGAGATTCTACGTTTATCTAAATGCTCTTCGTTACAACTAATGAAGTGCATCTTAAGTAATAATATAAATGATGTAATTAAGAATATATTTCGACTATTAAATAAGCATATTCCCAAAGCTACCGATAACAATTGTTCAATATTTAAAAACCGTTATGTTAAATTATATTTAAGAAATGGAAAAATTTCTTCAACTTTCGTTTTAATGTGTTATCGTATATTGAATATATTTCTGTATTAGAAATAAAGAAAATTTGAAGAACACGTTGATATATACCTATATAAATATATTTGAATAATTTCAAGTATTTTGAAAAGACTGAATGAATTTGTTTGTTACCGTAAATTTATATTCGTCGAAACAGAAAATTCACATGAGAGGAAAAACATGATCGAGGAATTCCGTTTGGTAACATAAAGTAGTGTAGAGACGTAACCTCTTTCCACGTTATTAATCTTCGATTTCTACGAGGTAGTCTTGATTATTTAGAAATGCGTCAGTCGATAAATGGAAATAAAGAGAGAAACTTAGTGTCTGGGCGTGGCAACAGAGATTAAAACGAGCAGAGGAAAGCACCACATCACCTTATTCGTCGTGGTTATTGCGAGGAAGGGAGGGGAGGTAGAAAGAGAGAAAGAGAGACGACGACGACGATGCGAGCAAAGGGTAAATTAATAAAAGACCGAGGGGTGTCTCGTAGAGGCGGATCCTGGGCGGTGGCATTGTGCCCAATGAATAACGCTCTTCATCTCGTTATCTACATTCAGTCTGCATAACAATGCGATTCAAAATCCACTCTGCGTCAATGCGAGCTCTACTAACATCGTCCAAGTATACCCCACGTAATTAATCAGCTTCTCTTTTCGTGTCTTTCTTTAAAGAAGAACATTTTTTCTATTGTATGTATAAGTACATATGTACCTATATGTATAATATTAATATGCCACTTTTTCTTTTCTAGTCGTTTAACATTATCATCATCAATATTATAATTTTATCGGTCATTCTTTTTGATATTATTTTTGTAAAACTATGTGTTTTCATAATTACAGAGTATAGAAATAATAATATAAATAAAATTAATAGATAAAAAGATTCGATTCTATCGGGTTTAATGAAAGATAGATAAGAAATAATGAACCATATTAGGTATTATATTTTTTTTGCCAGTTTCATGTAACAGTGCATATTTCGCACGTACAAATTTATAAATAAACAACCGATTTAGGGGCTTCTCAAATTTTTAATATGAGGAGTTAAATAAATTCGAAGTTTTTCTAAACAACGAACATCGTGAAAATATACACTAACATATTATGTATAACGCAGTCTGTAGTCCACAGATGCGAAGAGTTATTTTTCTAAATGACGCATTTGTTTTGAGCGGGTAAAAAGGAAGAGCAAAAGAAAAAAGAGAAAGAGGGAGGGAGAGAGTTTAAAAAAAGACGACAGAAAAAGGAAGAAACGAAAAAAAAAGAGAAGTTCGGAGAAGCCGAGGCTAGAAAGCACAGATTCCGATGCTCGCTGGCCGTGCAGCACATCAGACAGAGGCACATAGCCCGAAGCCATGTAATTCATTACTAAAGCAATCTCACCCTGGCACCCTTCTGGTCTCCACTCTGCCACCAGTCTTCCTCCGCCCCTGACCCATCAGCCACCCGCGCGCTGCGTTATAATATAAAAAAAGAAGATGGCGAGAAGGAGAAAGAAGGTGGAGGAGGAGAAGGAGAAAAAGAGAGTACTGAATAGAATAGCATTCTGACAACAAAACAAAATGGAACACAAAGTCGTGTTTTCATAATTAAAAAGATTGCGCGCGCTTCTTTTTCTACGTCCCTCTTCCTCCAAATCTTCTTTCCCCCTTTCACAATGCTCTTATCTTTTATGATTCCTACTACTTATTTACTCTATCCATCAAACATTGAAATTCATTTCTTTTTTATAAATGAAGATACCACATATATATATTTTATTTGTATATCGGTACATAAGTACAAATATTTTCAAATAAATAACATATACTCGATGTTTCATTTTATTCCTCTTATCCCTGTAAAATATAGTTCGTCTCAAGTCGTGGCCTTTTCCTTATTATTATTATGATTGTCATCAATATCGTCATATTATTATTATTTATATATATAATAATAATAATAATTATTATTATTACTATTTTATTATTATTATTTCTTCACTCGATCCTCAAACACATGCAATCTTTCATTATGGAATAAATTCTCCTTTAGGTCCTTTTCCTATTTCCTCCAACTAATCGAAACAAACACTTTCTTTTCGATATTCATCATTTCCATTTCTTACCATACACTTATCATCATTACTATTTTCTACTGCACCAACTTTCAAAAATCATCAAGAGTAAAATAAAGCAACCTCTACAATTAACAAGGCGTTATCATCATTTTGCAACAAAATTTGTTGACCCAACTATTCTTCCGAAAACGATTTCACGAACACGTCTTGGGACCGAGAAAATCCGACATGTGGTACTAAAATATATTTATACTCTTTTTATAACATGTAAATATACAATGTATGACATTAAAATCTTCTAAAAAACAGTCGTTATTACGATAAATGTTTCTCAGTCTGTTTTTAAATATGAAGTTATCGACATATGGAACGTAATATACAACTTAAGGCAAGTTTATTGATAATGCGAGGATATCGAATTCGTATCCTATATTCTTTTCAATAGTATTTTAATAATTTGCGATATATCCTGTCCTTACAAGGCATTTATGAGGAAAAAAATTATTTTTTATTTAATTTTCTCATGGTATTTCGTATCGTCATTCTTACCTATAAGTACAATCATGATAAGAATAGTTAATTAAATCGATCATTAATCGACCAGTTAATCGACTATACCCAACGAATCTAAATATGTTTTTATTTAATGATGATCAATAAAAACCGCATTTCGAAGAGGGATACCTCTCGCTCTCTTTCTTTCTCTTTCTCTGTATTGCGTAAATGCGCGCATGTAAGCTAGTACAGACGAAGAGATAGAAACGAACGAAGAGGAGGTTCTGTCTCCAGCTTTTTTCGGGAGAAGGGGTTGAAAGGATGGAAAGGAAGCTGCGGGGAAGGGCATAGCAGAGAGGGAGAGAAAGATAGAGGTAGGTGGAGGGGGTTGAAACAACAGACTATATTATACAATACTATCTGTCGGTCCACAATCGCATACAGCTCTCAGTTCATTGTTTCCCAGTACCTACAGATGTGCGCCGCTTTCCATTGTCGGGCCATAGGCGTATTGCCGGCTGTAGATAGAGAAAGAGAGAGAGAGAGAGAGAGAGAGAGAGAGAGAGAGAGAGAGAGAGAGAGAGAGAGAGAGAGACGTGGATACCGCGAGTTTGGTGTGGGAGGGGGGTGGTAGATATAGGAGCGCCATGGAAAGGAACATATCAATTCTTTGTCGCATCAGCACTATCCGTCTCTAGTACGGGCTAACGGGTGACAGATGCAAAAAATTCATTGATTCGTCCTTCTTATTAAAAAAATAAACCGCCGTAGAAGTCATCGTAATTTCTTCTTTTTTCCTTAAACTAGCGTAATGATTTCTAATATACAAGATTTCCATAAACTGATCGAATGTTGTAAGCAATACTTCCAAAATTATTATTGTGTATAGAGAAAATGAAAGACGATCACATCTTTTAATTTTACAATGCATTGGTATTGAATCTTTTTCCTGATATACGAAATTAAAATTTTTTAATCTTCGAAAATGAATAGTTTTATGCCTGTTTACACACATAATGAAGATAAATCGATATAAAATTTGTTCGCGTCGAGCCCAGAAAAATATTTCAATAACGGATCTCTTAAAAATGCAGCTATTTGTTTGTTTTTCAAGAAAGAAATTTTATTCGAATTGATCAAAATTTATAAGATCATCATTGTTTCATTTGTAGGCGGCTATAAGCATTTATTACAGAAAA